AAAGTTAGCTTCCCACACGTGGAGGAATACTGCCACAGAGGGGAAAGGAGAAATACTGCTTGCTCGTCTGAATGACCTTCTTGAGAAACTAAAATTAAACCCATTAAACCCATCAAAGACTCATTTGAGCTGGGTGTGGTACACACCTGTAATCCCAGCACTGGGGGCACTAAGAGGATCAAGGACTTCAGGCCAGGCTGACCCACAGAGGAGACCAAGCCTGGGGCACAGGCTCCAGTATTCCCCATTCAGTTTTCACATGTTCTCTAAGTCCGAGGTTCTTCATGATGAAAACAATTTAACAGAAGTATCCTCTCCAATATAACCAGGGAGGCATGAGGAATGTTGGAAGAAAGGCCTGGACTCCAAACTGAAGTATAGCAACGGGGTGGTAAAGAAAAGCAGCTGGGAGCCACCTACTGATGGCTGCATTCCGTACTGTCCTAGGCTGAGATTCACAGGAGGAGCAGGAAGCCATCACTCCTACCAACCAAGAAGGCACCGTCTGTGGGCCGTGGTTGAACTTCCATGTCATTCTCTACTACACGGGCAGTTAGAATTGTCACAGTGCTGCTAAAGTCCATCCAACATCTCGGCTTTCTGAGTCTCAGAGGAGAACCAAACAGAAGGGAAGCAGAGTAAAGCAGCCATGCCCAGATATTATAGGAAAAGACGGAAACACATGCGACCTGACTTCTTGGCATTTGTCAATGAAGTGCTACTATGTTTGTAGCCTGACAGGAGTCACCAGGCACAAAGCCAGGGGAAAGAAAGGAGATTCGGTTGACACCCACCTGTGCCACTGGGGCAAATGGGCTGGTAAGCCCAGACCACAGAGAAAAGCCACCAGACTTCTCATCTGCATTGCCAAGCTTTATACCTTCACAGAACCGTTGGTAACAGCTCTCTGATGAAGCCAGTTTCCTTAGACCTCAAATTCTGCACAGGCGGACCCATTGCAGGCTCTATACCCCAAAGGCTGCCAGCCCAGCCACGCCTCCTCATTTCCCACTGCGTCATTTCTTCCTGGGTTAGAGCCTCCTCAGACAAAAACAGCTCTCCACTGGTCACACCAGAGCTCTGGAGAGCAGCCACCTCATGGCGCTCCACTCTCAAGCCTGCCTCTTCTCCCTACTGTGAGGCCATGGTCTCAAATCACAGGCTGACACTTTCGAGACAAGAAAAAGGTCACCATGCTGTGGGCAGTCTCTAGCAAAGCAGCATCATGGAGAAGGCACTCAGGGGCAGCCCTGATGAGAAAAGGCTCGGAATAGACGAGGAGGGCTTGCAGAATGACAGCAGAAGTGTAAGCTAAACTTGGGGATTTTCCATTTCACTCGTCTTATGCATCCAAATTCTATGGTCTTTTTAGGACCATAGAATCATCTACCACAGTGAAAGAGGAGACATTAAAAGCTGAAATGACCTGGCCATTAGGCTATATGAAGAAAATTATCTATGAACGGAGCGTGGGAAACTCTGTAATTTGTGAAAATACTGGGTACTTACTCTCCTAGACTTCGGTCACAAAGGTGAATGCATTTGGGAAAAAAACAACAAGATTCAGTTACAGACTAAGAACTACGCTTTGTTAAGTAGCTACTTAAATGTACTGAAAAGGAAGAGGACTTAACGCTAAATTCCCGTTATATCCCTCTACTCAGAGGTTGAGGCAGGAGGATCACTTGAGCCTAGGATTTTAGGGCTAACCTCAACAATAGATTAGAGACAAAGTTACTCATTATAATACCGAAGCCACATTATCATCACCAGGTGATGTGGGGACACAAAGATATCACCACACCAAAGAAATGATGGGCAAAAACTATGGATGGCTGCACTGCAGTTGGCCATATGGAAACTTAACTCTTATCTTTCTTTTTGTAATTTTTATTTTATTTTATTTTTCTGTTTTATGGATGAGTGTTCTGCATGTATGCTTGCAAGCCAGAAGAGGATATCAGATCCTATTATAGATGACTATGAGCCAACATATGGGTACTGGGAATTGAACCCCAGTCCTCTGTAAAATCATACAGTGCTTAACCACTGAACCATCTCTGCAGCCCCAACTCTTTTTATCTTAAAAAAAAAAAAAAATTGATGTTGTTATTGGTGTGTGTGTGTGTGTGTGTGTGTGTGTGTGTGTGTGTGTATGTGTATGTGTGAGAGAGAGAGAGAGACAAGCACCTGTGAGAGTGGGCATTATTATTATTATTATTATTATTATTATTATTATTATTATTGTGACAGGCACCTGTGGGAATGGACATGCAAGTGCCATGAAAATGGTGTTCAGTTGGTTCTCTCCTTCCACTGCAGTATCTAGGACTTGAACTCCGGCTATCCGGTGTATGCACCAAACACTCTGAACCTCTGAACCCTACTAACGGCTCTCTTCTCATCTTTTATTTGATCATTACACAAGACCTCATTATATACTTCAGCTTGGCCTGGAATTCACTACATAGCACCAGCTGGCCTCAAACTCATGGTGATCCTTTTGCCTCAACCTCACATGTGCTGGGGTTATAAGAATGTGGCACCGCAGCCAGCCTAACTCCACACAGAGAACAGTCTTTGACTTTAAGGGAAGTTGTTCTGTTCATGCTCCACAGACTGGGGAGAGTTCACACCGGAAAGTTCACACAGAAAAAAGTTAACACAGGGGAAGAGTTCACACTGGGGAGAGTTCACACAGGAGAGAGATCGCACTGGGGAGAGTTCACACAGGGGAGAGTTCACACTGGGGAGAGTTCACACAGGGAAGAGCTCACACGGGAGAGCTCACACTGGGGAGAGTTTGCACAGGGGAGAGTTCACAGTGCATGGGGTTTACACACAGCAGAACAGGGAAATCACAGAGTCCAGGGACAGAACTTAGGGTATAAATGTGACAAACAGAACTACCAGAAAATGGCAGAGCAAGAAAAGCTTCACATCTGGCCACTCAGGCCCATATTGGTTGCTCCTAGTAGAAGTAAATATCCTAAAATAGATGGCCTTGAAAACTAAAATTTAAAAAGCAAAAGACATTTTAGGCTGATAGACATGGTTGCAGAAGAGATTGAGAGCCCCTGGTAGACATGGATGTCATAGTCCTCAGCCCAAGGCTTCTAAGACATTGGGGGTAGGGTGTGATCCTCCAATCTTAAATCCCCTCACCTCTTTCTGTTCAACCTGCAATGCTGATTTCAAAATATCCCGAAGCTGTATCAGCTGCCGCCGCTCCTCATCCTGGGCCTGTTTGATCTTCGAAGAGCAGACGAAGCAGAGAAAAGTACACAAAGGCACACTTAGATGATGCAGAACAGGGTGGCCTGTTCACACCGACCCTCAGCACCCACAGGGCCAATCCTCTCCTGACTGCACAGTGGGCATGCACAGGATTACAGAAATGGGGCCCTGAATGGTGATAGCACCATATAGAGGGAGGCTACTCACTGTGTGGAGATCTGTGGAGAGTGTTTCAATGGAAGGCTTGAGGCTTTCTACCGCTTTCAGTCCATCCTGGAAAAAACTGGGGGAGAAGAACAAGCAGAGACTGTGTGTCACAGGGGAGAAGGCTGTTAGAGGTGAGACTACTAGAGGGAAGGCGGCTGGGTAAGACATGGTTCCTGGAAGAACCGATCCAGCAAAGCCAGAATGAAACAACAAGATTGCAGATGAACAGAGAAAGAATCATAGTAAGCCTGAGCAAGTTGTCACTCTGCCCCCCATCCCCCGCCCCGACACACATAGGAGACCCGATTTCCCAGTTAATAAATGGAAACTAGACTCTGAGCAGAGGCTGGAAGGCTTTGATGCCTAGGGGGCAAGCAAGAGAATTCAACAGGAAACAGTTAAGTGGGAAACTGCAGGAGAGAAAGAGGGCAACTTTGACACACATGAATGGCCGGGCTCCATCTGCACTGAAAGCATGGTGGGTTTTAAAGGTCAGACAGCAAGAGGAATCTCTTGAGGCTAGGGACTCAAGGCTGTGAGGTCACTTAAGACAAAGTGGCTAGTCTTCAGCAACGCCCCAAAGCATGCTGGTCAGCCTTCACCGTCAACCTGACTGGATTTAAGATCACCTAGGAGACTCACATCCGGGTCTTTCTAGAAAGGTTTAATGAAGCAGGGAAGACAACGTGAAAGAGGGTGGCACCATCTCATGAGCTGGGGTCCCGGATGTAATAAAAAAGGAGAAAGCAAGCTGAAAGCCAGCACTCCTCTATCTGCTTTCAGACACCATCTGACCAGCTACTACATCTGCTAACTGAACCTGCCCCTCTGACAGACTCCACCTACACATGCCAGGAGCCAAAGCAAACCGCCATTCTTTTTTTTTTTTTTTTTAGAACAGGGTTTCTCTATTGTTTTGGAGCCTGTCCTGGAACTTGTTCTGTAGACCAGGCTGGCCTCGAACTCACAGAGATCCGCCTGCCTCTGTCTCCCGACTGCAGGAATTAAAGGCTTGTGCCACCAATGCCCAGCTTTAGCACACTTTTATAGGCTATTTTATCACAACAAGAAGAGAAGTAACTAGAGCACACTGTTGTGAGGTATGGGAAAGGGGAAGGGAAAAACCACTGTTTTATAAGCCTGACAGTCAGAACTCAACCCTTCCCAGAAACCTGCAGAAGAAGCAGATGTGGTGCACATCCCTAATCCCAGCACTCCTATGGTGAGAAGGGAGTGAAGACAAGAGAATTGGCTAGAAGCACACACAGTGGCAGAAGAAACAGGAGAGACTATGGAAGGAGAGATCTGGCTCCCAAAGTTGTCTTCTGACCCCACGGCATGCACATATCACATACCCATCTCACACACAAATTCAAAAATAAGCAATAAATAAAAATCTGGGGAAGGGAATAAAGTGCCTGGGTCTCATGTATATATTCACTGAGGTGATTTTTTTCTTTTTCCCTTTTAGATTCATCAATGGCCCCGAGAGACTCTCCTCATATTAAGTGTGCCACAAAGCAGAAGGGTTGTGAAAAATATGTAGCCTGTCACTAACTTAGTGATCTCACACACACACACACACACAGAGAGAGAGAGAGAGAGAGAGAGAGAGCTGCTAGGATGCTCTCATCTCACTCTTTAGGCACACATATAGTCACTGTGTTTTAACTGGGTTTTGTTTCCCAAACACAGGCTTCTGGATTAGCAATTAAGGCCCCATGCCAGTGTAATTGTTCAGGTATTTGTTCAGGTATTTGTGGCCAGAGTTAGAGCAAACATGCCAGGTCCCCTGGCCTCTCTGGGCTTTCTAAATTGACAAGGAAATCTTGAAGAACTGAAGGGTCACAGGAACCGGGAACTGGGCTACTACTCAACTACCTACCTCTATACTTTAGTTCCATTTTTTTCTTATGTAACGGTCTCCTTGGTCACTAAAAATTATGGTAAGGTAGATAGGTCACAAGAGAGAAAGGAAGAGATAAACATATGAGACAGAGAATGCCAGTATAGGAAAAGGCAGGAACATGACGGCAAGCGAAGATAGCAAGCAGTCCCTGGTGAGGGAACAGGTGCACAGCCCTGCAGTTTGGTTACTCTCCCCGAGGTAGATGGAGAGAGGAAGGGTATAGTCAAGGGCTAGGGAACCTGGCTCGCTTACACATACACATTTCCTGGAGAACACTCAGGAGAGTGACACAAACTTGGGCTAAAAATGTTTTCATCTTTGTCAAACTTAGGCATCTACCTATAATGCCCCCCCCCAACTCTTGCTCTGACTTTCAAACTCCATCTGAATATGCCCTCCTTATGAGGACATCAGGCTGGTGCCACAGTGGCTTCAAAGCAAGGGAGCTCAAGGGTTGCCTCAGTGACCTCTGTCCATTAGTCACTGTGACACTTATAGGTGTGTGTCCCCTGCAAAATTTCCCCCAAAGCTAGTTAGCATTTTTCCAAGCTGCAGTTCAAAGGGCTGTTACCATTAGTGTTACCAAATCAGACTTTCTTTATTCTCTTCCTACTAGACATTTTCTAGCCGGTTCAACCAGACTCTTGAGCCCTGAAAACAGAACTATTTAGATGCAATCTTTGGTCCTCTCCTGAACTTCACACACTGTGCCAAGCACCCCATGCTCAAGCTATCATCACTCCAGGACAGGTAACCCATTTACTGAGTTGTCATCCCAGACTACTCTGTGGTAGTCCACTGTCTGAGGCTACTCTTCTAACCACTGTATTTGTTTAACTTTATGTGTATGCGTGTGTACCTGAGTATGTATGCACACCACGTGCCTGCAGGAGCCTTCAGAAGTCAGAAGAGGAGTTGGATCCCCTGAAACTAGAGTTACAGGGAGCCCTGAAAACAGAACTATTTAGATGCAATCTTTGGTCCTCTCCTGAACTTCACACACTGTGCCAAGCACCCCATGCTCAAGCTATCATCACTCCAGGACAGGTAACCCATTTACTGGCACGAAAGCCAACTCCTCCACAGCTCCTGTTCCCAAGCATCATCAATGCAAAACTGCAAGTCCTTCAGGTAGTAACTGGCCCTCACAGCTCTGAGCAGTATGTTCACAAAGTGCAAAGCAACTCAACCCACACTTCCACCTCTCAGAGTGTTGCTGCCTCCTTTTAGTTACTGTTTCAAGGGCTGCCCTGCTTCTATAACAGAACAACATCCTCTCTCCAGCAGTAAAAGCTACAACAAATCTTCAGCTGCTCCAAGGATGCAAGTGCTATCTTTACACACACACACACACACAAAAACAGCAGCAAAAAAGCATGATGTATTCTTCAAAATACTTAAACAAACAAACAAAAACAACAAAAAACCACTACAAGTGTTACAAGCAAAACTGAATTTAAAAAAGTTGCATGGAAGTCATTCTAAGGATCTGGATGTCACATGGAGGACAGCTGTGGTGAGGAAGCAATGAGGCTAGGGACCAGGACACCCGAGGAGGGTGTGTAAAGGACTTCACAACATGCAGAAACACTTGTGGCCTCAGGTTCCCAGGTTCCGAAAGCCAAGCCTCTCAGGTTTTGTGTTACCTCCCAAGTATGAATTTAGGCCCTGTGAGGACACAACCCCCACACGCACATACACCAGCACTGGACCTAGGAGGAAACCGGAAGATTCATATTTTAGAAGTTTACTGAGCTCGTGTCCATAAAAGGTCAAGCAATTCACTTTCCACAAGTGGCCCGTTGCTACCCAACTGATAGTTTGTGCAAAATAGAGAAGAAAAAGGAAATCTGAGAATAACTTTTTCCTAAAAATAAAAACTCAACAAGGAAGCAACCCACTTCCTACGCAGCCTGGCAACCAGGTTATGGGGACGGAGCAGCCGATCTGCTAAGCAGATCCTCCCTGAAGGTCCTCCCTTTGAGTCTGTAAGAGGAAACCACCTTAAAAATTCTAGAAATTCCAGGTCCTCTGACCCTGGGCCAGTCTTTCCCGCACATGTTCCGCCTGCACAAGTGCAGAGAAGCATGCAGTCACCACAGCCACACAGAGAATCAACAGCTGAGCAGCCTTGGGGCCAGCACACAAGGCCCTGTTGCACATATGTGGCCAGACCACTCAGCACCCCTGGACAAGGGAATGCATGGAGATGTCACCTGGGAGGCACCCAGAGGGCCCTGCAGAGGCAAGCAGATGAGGCTTGATTCCATCAGGGCTGCTCATGAACCAGACTATGTGTCTCCTGGAGCACAGGAGAAGAAGCCAGAGGACATTCCAGGGAAAGGACATTCCAGGGAAAGGAGCAAAGTGTGGGCAGAGACACCAGCCCCAGGCAAAACCCATTCAGGGAGAGGTAAACAAACAGGTGACCTCCGAAGGATTTCTCAAACTCCTTCACACTTTGCACTCCAGCTGCGGCCAGTCCATCCGTGCTATGTCATCCCAGACTACTCTGTGGTAGTCCACTGTCTGAGGCTACTCTTCTAACCACTGTATTTGTTTAACTTTATGTGTATGCGTGTGTACCTGAGTATGTATGCACACCACGTGCCTGCAGGAGCCTTCAGAAGTCAGAAGAGGAGTTGGATCCCCTGAAACTAGAGTTACAGGGAGCTGCCATGTGGGTGCTGGGAATTGAACCTGAGTCCTCTGGAAGAGGAGACAGCACTCAACTGCTGAGACATCTCTCCAGCCTTCAGAACTCTTTCGCAAACACCCGATTCCTAAGTCCACCTCCCCAGCCACATCCCTTTATTTTAGCACCTTGAATAAAGCCTTATACAAACATGAACTCCATCAAAGTCTACCGGGTGAGTGAGTGAGTGAGTGAGTGAAGAAGCCATGGGTGTGCGCTTTTATACCAATGGTCAGGGGCCTGTGACAGAAACAGGAACTGCGTGGTAGGCTGACATCCATAGCAAAACCAAGCACCCAGAACATGAAGTTTCTCTTTCTTTCCTATGGCCTTTCTAAGACCAGAATGTATGAATGTACTGTCTTAATATAATTCATCAAATCAACACTGTTTCCCTTCAAAAACAACCAACTTCACACACTGTGCCAAGCACCCCATGCTCAAGCTATCATCACTCCAGGACAGGTAACCCATTTACTGGCACGAAAGCCAACTCCTCCACAGCTCCTGTTCCCAAGCATCATCAATGCAAAACTGCAAGTCCTTCAGGTAGTAACTGGCCCTCACAGCTCTGAGCAGTATGTTCACAAAGTGCAAAGCAACTCAACCCACACTTCCACCTCTCAGAGTGTTGCTGCCTCCTTTTAGTTACTGTTTCAAGGGCTGCCCTGCTTCTATAACAGAACAACATCCTCTCTCCAGCAGTAAAAGCTACAACAAATCTTCAGCTGCTCCAAGGATGCAAGTGCTATCTTTACACACACACACACACACAAAAACAGCAGCAAAAAAGCATGATGTATTCTTCAAAATACTTAAACAAACAAACAAAAACAACAAAAAACCACTACAAGTGTTACAAGCAAAACTGAATTTAAAAAAGTTGCATGGAAGTCATTCTAAGGATCTGGATGTCACATGGAGGACAGCTGTGGTGAGGAAGCAATGAGGCTAGGGACCAGGACACCCGAGGAGGGTGTGTAAAGGACTTCACAACATGCAGAAACACTTGTGGCCTCAGGTTCCCAGGTTCCGAAAGCCAAGCCTCTCAGGTTTTGTGTTACCTCCCAAGTATGAATTTAGGCCCTGTGAGGACACAACCCCCACACGCACATACACCAGCACTGGACCTAGGAGGAAACCGGAAGATTCATATTTTAGAAGTTTACTGAGCTCGTGTCCATAAAAGGTCAAGCAATTCACTTTCCACAAGTGGCCCGTTGCTACCCAACTGATAGTTTGTGCAAAATAGAGAAGAAAAAGGAAATCTGAGAATAACTTTTTCCTAAAAATAAAAACTCAACAAGGAAGCAACCCACTTCCTACGCAGCCTGGCAACCAGGTTATGGGGACGGAGCAGCCGATCTGCTAAGCAGATCCTCCCTGAAGGTCCTCCCTTTGAGTCTGTAAGAGGAAACCACCTTAAAAATTCTAGAAATTCCAGGTCCTCTGACCCTGGGCCAGTCTTTCCCGCACATGTTCCGCCTGCACAAGTGCAGAGAAGCATGCAGTCACCACAGCCACACAGAGAATCAACAGCTGAGCAGCCTTGGGGCCAGCACACAAGGCCCTGTTGCACATATGTGGCCAGACCACTCAGCACCCCTGGACAAGGGAATGCATGGAGATGTCACCTGGGAGGCACCCAGAGGGCCCTGCAGAGGCAAGCAGATGAGGCTTGATTCCATCAGGGCTGCTCATGAACCAGACTATGTGTCTCCTGGAGCACAGGAGAAGAAGCCAGAGGACATTCCAGGGAAAGGACATTCCAGGGAAAGGAGCAAAGTGTGGGCAGAGACACCAGCCCCAGGCAAAACCCATTCAGGGAGAGGTAAACAAACAGGTGACCTCCGAAGGATTTCTCAAACTCCTTCACACTTTGCACTCCAGCTGCGGCCAGTCCATCCGTGCTATGTCATCCCAGACTACTCTGTGGTAGTCCACTGTCTGAGGCTACTCTTCTAACCACTGTATTTGTTTAACTTTATGTGTATGCATGTGTACCTGTGTATGTATGCACACCACGTGCCTGCAGGAGCCTTCAGAAGTCAGAAGAGGAGTTGGATCCCCTGAAACTAGAGTTACAGGGAGCTGCCATGTGGGTGCTGGGAATTGAACCTGAGTCCTCTGGAAGAGGAGACAGCACTCAACTGCTGAGACATCTCTCCAGCCTTCAGAACTCTTTCGCAAACACCCGATTCCTAAGTCCACCTCCCCAGCCACATCCCTTTATTTTAGCACCTTGAATAAAGCCTTATACAAACATGAACTCCATCAAAGTCTACCGGGTGAGTGAGTGAGTGAGTGAGTGAAGAAGCCATGGGTGTGCGCTTTTATACCAATGGTCAGGGGCCTGTGACAGAAACAGGAACTGCGTGGTAGGCTGACATCCATAGCAAAACCAAGCACCCAGAACATGAAGTTTCTCTTTCTTTCCTATGGCCTTTCTAAGACCAGAATGTATGAATGTACTGTCTTAATATAATTCATCAAATCAACACTGTTTCCCTTCAAAAACAACCAAATCAGAGACCATGTATGAAGACAAACAAATTGGCCCTCTACAAAAAAGGGGGGATGTATTTGACAATTATTGTCAATTTTTAAATACTGTACCCATACTTTTATTTTTTACTGAGACTCAATCCTCAAGCCATGAGATTGCTCTTTGAAGTGTACATTGCAGTAGATCTCAGGATACTGACAGTGCCATGTAAGCAACATCAATCAGAAGGTTTCTGTTACCTCCTTTTCTATGGTAACTGCTTAAGCTGCCTTCGGTCTATAAATACGCTTTTGCCCCTGGCTTGTCAAATAAACAGAGTCATACAATGTGATGTTGTGTCTCTGGTTTCCTTCCCTCTACATAGTCAAGGTCCATCTGTGATGTAATGTGGGCACTTCTTTCCTCCCATAGTAATTCATTCATTCATTCATTCATTCATTCATTCATTCATTGACAGGATCCCATGTAGCCCAGGCTGGTCTCTATATAGCCAAGGATGACCTTAAACTTCTGCTCCTTCTGCCTCTGCCTCCTAGGAGCACGGGGATTATGGGCATGTGCCACCACATTGGTTTATATAGTATTGAAAATTAAACCCAAGACTCCCCTACATGTTAGGCAAATACTCTACAAACTCAACTACATCCCCAACCCCAGCTCATGATAATTCATTCATTCTTCCTTTCTTTCCTTTTCTTTCTTTCTTTTCCAAGTTCTGGGGATTGAACCTGGGCCCCGACACATGCCAGGCCAAGAGTGAGCTACCAAGATATATTCTCTCTCTGTGTGTCTCTGTCTCTGTCTCTCTCTGTCTCTCTCTGTCTCTCTCTGTCTCTCTCTCTCTCTCTCTCTCTCTCTCTCTCTCACACACACACACACACACACACACACACACACACACCATGGTAATTTCCAAGTGAGTGTTTATTCCCTCAACACAAAACTATCTATTAGTAATTGCCATCCACAGAGGAGCATTAAAAGACACCATAAAGAAGGGGCACTTACTTGCACTGGGCGTGGAAGTACTTGATCAGATTCTGAAGCAAATCCACTCCCTTTTTAACCTTGATTTCATTGACCTTCAGCAGATACTGTTGAGAAACAAGGGAAAGAGATTGCAGAAATCAGGAGATGGGATGACATCAGGGGCTCTTGTGAAACAGGGTCACCTGTAGCCTAGGCTAGACTTGAACTCACTATACAGTCAAGTAGTACCTTGAATTTCTGATCTCCTTGCTTCCCTCTCCCAAGTGCTGGGATAAAAGAATGCTAGACTACTCCTGGCTTATGCAGGGCCAGAGAATGACCCAGGGGCCTTTTGCACACTAGGTCTGCATGCTGCCAACTGAGCCACACTTGTTCAAGACTGACTCTCTCTTGGTTTCTTTAACAGCTTATAGGCAGGTAGAGACTGTGGTAGCCACTGAGTGTTTTCAGCAAATGTGACTAAATGGCTATGCTGGCCAGGTAATCCAATGTTTAAGACGCTCACATCCTACTAACTAGACAGTCTACCATATCCAGCCAGGACAAGCTTACTCTAGATGCATTGGAAGAGGACGCCTGCAAAGAATTGGGGTTCTAACTATGTTGGATCTTCCTATGCATCTTCTACACAGGTCTCTTTTCATTTTGTTTGAGACAGTGTCTCCCAAGCTGACTTGGAACTGAGATCAATGGCATGTGCCACCACACCCAGCTTCAAGTCCCTTTCTTAGTCAACTCCTACTAAGTGCTAGCTAGCAACCGGTAGCTGAGATTTGTTACCATGTTGCTGACCCAAAGCACTCTCCCCTATATATGAGTTGCCAAAAAGGTGAATTTTAGATTAAATTGTCAAAGCCACTTCTAACCAAGAGAATCCATTAAGGACCTCTCGGCAGGAAGCCCAGGCATTATAAAATGCACCTGTCCCTTCCTAAAAGTATACAAATCCAGGACTCTACAAAGCCCTTTGCCCCTCGCTGTGAGGTGGTGGTATGGAGAGATGGCTCAGCAGTTAAGAGCACTGCTGCTCTCTCAAAGGACCTGGGTTCAATTCCCAGCACCTATATGGCAGCTCACAACTATTTGTAACTCCAAGATCTGACACCTTCACACAGACATACACGCAGGCAAAACACCAATGCCCATCAAATGAAAATAAATTATTAAAAAAAAAGAAAGAATCCTGAGTGCATCTCTTGTTTAAGACAGGAAGGCCCAGGAAAACCTGCTAACCTGTAGTGAACCCTGTGAGTCCCCAGCTGTCTCAGGGTGAGCCCAAGTGCAGGAACCCTCTTAGGCCAGCTGTGCAAGTCAGTGAGGGGACAGGAAGCCGCTGTGAAACCATAACAACCAATTTTCTTCTCTGTGTAAGAACTGCCTATGTGTCCTGTCTTCCTTCCTTTTTGATAGTTATTCACGTTAATTGAGTATCTGGCAACGGACCAAAACGATACAATCATTAATAAAATGTTTGGCAATGCATCAAGACTGAAATTGTGTACGCTCTTTGACCCGGAAATTCTGCTTACTGGAACTTACTGTAAGAGACAATCCATAAAGCATACAAAGAATAGGAAGGAAGGTCTGCAATGGCTTTTTTTTTTTTTAATATGGTGTTCTGTTTAAGAGGGTATAATAAGTATCACTGGACTGAGGGTGTTAACCTAACTCAGACTCCAGGGAGAGACGGGACCGTTTTCACACATACACAAAGGCCTTCACACTCCTTGGACCCTGATCTAGATAAAGGCTCCTGGTGCCAGCTCCCCTCTGTCCTTCTCCAAGACACAGGCCAAGGCCATAGGAAGCAAGAGCCCTAGGGCAGGCGATGTCTGGGAACTGGACAGCAAGGATGCTGTGGGTGCCATGAATGTCTTCTGGCTGACTCTTCACACCTCCCTTTCTCCAACTCCAGAGATGTAATAATAACTCTTAAAGCCAGGCATTGGTGGCGCACGACTTTAATCCCAGCACTCAGGAGGCAGAGGCAGGCAGATCTCTGTGAGTTTGAGGCCCGCCTGGTCTCCAGAGCGAGTGCTAGGATAGGCTCCAAAGCTACAGAGAAACCCTGTCTCCAAAAACCAAAAACAAAACAAAACAACAACAAAAAAAAAACCTCTTAAAATCATTGAAGAAATAAGTATTCCAGCCAACTGTTGTGAGAAAGTACAAGAGGTCAGAGAAACATTCTGAAGTTCTCTCTTCTACTTAAAAAAGACAAAAAACAAAACAACAACAACAAAAAAAAAAACACCAGGGGTGGGGGATATCTCTCTCTCTCTCTCTCTCTCTCTCTCTCTCTCCCTCTATCTCCATCTCCGTGTGTGTGTGTGTGTGTGTGTGTGTTTGTTCACATGCGTCTGGGTGCAGGTCCATCTGGAGGCCAGAAGAGGGTGTCAGAGTCCTTGGAGCTGGAATTACAAGAGCTGTGGGCAGCCTGACCTGGGTGCAGAGATCCAAACTCAGGAGCTCATGACTAAGCAGCAAAGTCAACCCTGAGTCATGTCTCCTCCAATCCCTCTCTCTGTTAATGAAGGCTGGTGTGAGACTGACCTAAGCCGGCACACCAGGAAGTAGTCTAAGAGTCCTCTAAGGAAACAAACCTTTAGCACAGAAATGCAGCCCAGCTAGCTGTCAGGGAAGTCACGGGTCTCTGTGAGAAGACCACATTGGAGAGGAGGTCTGCGCCCGTGCCCAGCCTGACCACCTTTCCCTTCCCAGGGTCTTACCTCACACATCTGCAGCTGGAAGAATCGTCTCTCCTTCTCCATTTCCTCTGCAATCTCAGCCCCGCTTATCTCAGTACGGATCATTCCATGCAGCTTGGCGTGCTCCTTCTTCTCCTTTTCTATTTTGGTTCTGTGTGTGAAGAAAAGGCAAGGGTAAGACAAGAGGCCACCTGGCACAGCACTCCCAACCGGACAGACAGCCTCAGAACCATCTGCTGAGGCGAACACTCACTGTGCTCTTCAGAGCAAGGTGACATCTTAACTCTTGAAGAAAGCAAACTGTGTGTTGACATGGGAAAGTGTCAGAGCTGGCCTTCCCTCTGCTCACTCAACGGATACCGCCTAAGCACCTGTTGGGTGTGATCTGTGTCTGAGATGGAAGGCCCACACAGGCCTTGCACTCCATAGTTAGCCTCTCTCTAGAGATCTCCACAAGCACTCTGCTGTATTTAGCAAAGTCACTTTGCTATTCTGGCTTCCATGGTGCTTCTCACTACAGCATCTCCCGGTTCACCGTTCTCTTCCTTCATCCCCCTTTCCATGGTGACTGCCTGCTGAGCTACATTACCTAAATGTCATGTGTACAGTTCAGGTATAAACCGACCAGCTGGGCACACACCCAGAACCATCACCAAGGGAAATGGTGTCACAGAGTCACATTGGCCATGGAAAGCACTGGAGGCACTTCCTGCCGAGTCTCAGGTCACACATGGAGACACGGCTGGCATTTTCTTTAAAAGCTGTTTGATGATTAAATGGGCTGTGAGTGTTCCCTGTCACAGGAGGCAGAGGGCATGTGCACGCGTGTGTCTGTGTGTCTGTCTGTGTGTGTATGTGGAAGATACACTTCTGTCTGGGCACACAAGGTAAACCCAACACTGACAATGACAAGAACATGAAAAGTAGGAGGTCATTTGGCAGGAACATCGTCCAGTGAATTCAGGCACCTCAGTGGACCTGTGATCATAGGGCACTACAGCCTCTAGACTCCTCACACCGTTCTGTGGTCCCTGACCATGTATCTAAATATTCAGTACAGAGCTACCGAGGAGGGATCCTGAAGACACCTCAAATCTAGTTATTATGCTTGGCAAGGCTTCTAGGGATAGAGGAATTGTCCATGTTTGTGGGTAAAAAATAACTTCTTGATGCATACTAGGGTTGCTTCGAGTTTAAAAGGCTCTGTCCCCTCCATACCAAACTCTGACACTGCGGTGACAGTGACACTACACTGGGCAGGTAAAGCTTCGTCTTGGAGGGTGTGATGCCTTCACTCCCCCAGTTTTTCTCTTCACAACCAGACAGTCACTCTACCCTGCTCCAACTGGCCACAGCACTAAGCAAGTTCTTGGGGTAAGGAGCAATGCACAGGTGCAGCTGGATGGTGGTCAGTCAATCCCACCCCTGACCCTAGCTTGAGACCCTCTTGCTGGGCAAGCAAGTGGCAGCCCCAGCAAGTAGTAGTATCAATGTGCTTACATCACTGAACTTAGCACAGTTAAAAGGCTAAGTGACCAGGGGTAATGGTTGGGAGTCTCTCTGGGTTAACAGACCTTCTAGGTCCCCCAGTTTCATTCCACTCCTGCAGAGTGTATGAGTGAGTGCCACCAGTGAAACTCCAGACCTGAGAGCCAGGTGATTTCCAGACAGAAATGTAGTATTCCCACAGGTGTAGCACTGGATTTGTGCTTTGTGATCTTTCATTAATGAAAGAAAAACCCCAGGGTGGCTTTTAAAAAATAAATAAATAAGTTGGTTAAAACACTTAGAATTGCATCCTCAGTGACTCCTTCCTAGACGTCTTCTCTTCACCAGATTCCTCCATAGGAAGCATCTTTCCACTCAGGAATGCTTCCAGCCCCCAGGCAGATTACCAAGTAACACAAGGCATTTGAAGAAACTGTCCATTTCTCCATCATTTAAATAACTGAAACCTTTAAGCCCCTCACCACCATCACTAGCTTTTTCTAGATGGCCTTATTCTCCCTGCCTTGGGGATGAGAAACTGATGAGAAATGTTCTAGCTGCCTGTAGCTGGCCAAGAGCAGACTGGCCTTCAGCAGAGACTGTGGTTCAGGTCTCAGGGTCACGGAGCCCTAATCCCTACATCCCTCCCTAGCAACAAACAATCTGAGTGAAAATGAAGCACTTGGGGCTTAAAGTATTAAAAACCAAGACGTCTGGCATTTTAGATAAATAGGGACCCAATGCTAAGAGCACACTTAAAAAACAAAGCAAAACAAAAAACAGCTGGGCGTTGGTGGCACACACCTTTAATCCCAGCACTCGGGAGGCAGAGGCAGGCAGATCTCTGTGGGTTCGAGGCCAGCCTGGTCTACAGAGCGAGTTCCAGGACAGCCTCCAAAACAATACAGAGAAACCCTATCTCAGAAAAAAAATAAATAAATAAAACAACACCTTTATGTCTGAAGGTGTGCCTGTGTCTGTGCGTGTACCCTGGCAGGAAGGCGTGGATCAGACCATAATAACCTCAAGTGTCAGTCCTTGTTTTTTGCCTTGGGTGGTCTTGTTTGCAACTGTGTAAGGGACACCCTGGTCCAAAAACTTCCAGGAGCTCCTCAGTGTCCACTTCCCATCTTACCTCAGGAACACTGCGACCACAGACCCACCATTGCAGCTGGCTCTTCACTTGGGCTCTGAGGACTCAACTCAGACCTTCACATCTACCTGGTCAATGGTCAACCCACTGAGCCATCTATCCATCTCCAGAGGTTTGTTTGTTTGTTTAATGAATCACCAGGAAGACCTAACGGGAAATACTGCTCTATAACCACCACAACACCACAGAGCTTGTGGAAGAAGCCACCACCCCCGACCACCATGACACCACAGAGCTTGTAGAAGCAGCCACCACCTTGGAACGCAGACAACAAGACACCTGTCATCATGTGCCATTATGCAACACAGCTTTAGGCAAATTCTTTCCTGGATTGGGTTTATTCAGACAACCCCTTCAAGCAACAAAAACCTGATTGAAGACTGAAATCAGATTACCTACGTCTACTACTTAAAAAACAATAAATAAAAATAAAAACACTCACATTTTGGTTTCATAGTCCTTCCAAGCTTTATCAAAGGGCTTTTTCAGATCCTATAAACAGAGGGGCAGCAAGTAAGTTTAATTAATCATTAACTTGTGTGCAAGGCAAACATCCGTATCCCTAGACTGATTCTATACGGTCACTAGGCTCTGAAAGAAGTCATGCGTGGGATTCTATAAAAAAGTAAGAACCTTTGAGACCAGGGGTGGGCTGGCCAGCCTTTCTTCCTTTTCTTTCTTTCTCATTTTAAAGCACGAATTACAGAATATACACCCCACACCCAAAAGGAGGTCACACAACATGTCCATCGTCCATGTTCACGTCCACCTCCATCCTAGTCTCCTGTTTCCCTGGGCTTCCCTTCCGCACTCAGTGTTGGGAACTGAAGATTCATGATCTCTAATAAGGCTTGGCTAGTAAAAAAAAAAAAAAAAAAAAAAAAAAAAAAAAAAAAAACAACTGAGGCTTCCAAGCCTGTCAAAAGGTTCCCACACAGTTCTGTTTCCCCTCAACAACATTCTTTTCTGTGTTTCATGTTTGTGTCTCCAGTGGCCACGGAAGGTCTTTGTGGAACAGCCCTCTTGCTCCTGACAGCCTGGCACATGGTGTGGATCCATGTTGCCACTAGGGGACATGTCTTTCCTCTGCAACCTCCTATTCCTTGCTTTCTGTTTGTTTCCTAGTAAATCAGCTGGCCTGATTTCCGGGCCTGCTCAGGGAAAACATGTAATGTCTCTTGTCCTAATAGCTCTCTCCTTGCATGCTTTGCAAGGGACACAGCAGGAGGTCCCCAAGATGGTCCAGACAGGCTTCCAGATGTGCCTAGATGAGGCCCAGCAACCAGACACACATACAAAGACCTGGGTCTCTCAAGGACATTGCCAAGCATCCCTCTAGCCCTGAGACAAATTACAGTTCCTGCATTTACTAAGTACTGCAAGGCCTCATCGGTATAAGCACCCAGGCCTGTCCAAACAGCCAGTGTCCTCTGGAGGGCAGGCCACATAGTGGCTCATGCTTATGAAATTTCTGTCCTGGTTAGGATCCTTTCCTAGAAGTAAAGCACAACAGGGCAGCTAGGAAACCAGATTCCACAGCATCTCCATGCTCCAGTGGCAACCAAGGAACCCTCTGGTGTTATTAGTCTCCAACTGGCTCATTTTCACCCCCCCTCTGTTCTCCCTTTACCAAGCTTACAGCACCAGCAATAGAAGAACCCACGGGCCAAGAGGCGCGGCTTTTGCCACATAAGGTAGCATCAAACAAACGTCAAATGAAAGGAAACAAAGCAGATGCCATCCCTGTGGCCTCATGTGGTGGGTAGGGTGACAGCCAACACTGCTGTGACTCCCGTGATGTCAGAACACCAGGACTCGGTCATACCCCTTTAACTCCTTTCAAGTCTCCTTTCAGCAGACTGTCCAAAGGGAAGGAGATGATGTTGTTCATATTCTGAATCTAAGGAGGAAAAACAGAAAAAAAAAAATCGTCAATGTCCAATGGGGGGGAGGTCCTTCTGTATGCTATGAATATGTTTCTCTTATTGGTTGATGCATAAAGCTGTTTTAGCCAATGGACAGGCAGGATGTTGCCAGACAGGAACTATAGGCAGGACTTCCAGACTAGGAGAAGGCTGGGAAGAGAAACTCAGAGGGTGAGTCATGAAGTGATCCCATGTAGCTACCGGGAAGGCAGGGTGCCCAGGCATTCTCCGGTAAGCCAAGACCATGTGGAGATACACTGATTAATAGAAATCGGCTAATAATTAAGACAGAGCTAGCCAATAAGAAGCCTGAGCCATCGGCCAAATAGTTCATAATTAATATAAGCCTCTGTGTGTTTATTTGGGACTAAACAGTTGCAGGATCAGGCACACAGAAACTTCTGTCTACAAACACCCTTTCTAATCCAAACAAAGACAGATGACAAGGGTGTTGGAAAGGACATTGGTAATAATTCACCTTCATGGACAGCCTGGCCAGCACAGTGTGGTGGCCTCACCCACTGGCTCATTTTGTTTCAGAAGAGAGCACATAGCTAATGAAAGACCCAGATCTGTATACTTCCACCCAAGAACCTTCTATTGTTAAACTGTAAAAAGTTACTGCAATGAGTAAAACCTAAACCTATCTCAGAACCATCAGTCAGTGAGAGAATCAATCACTCAAAAGCCTGGAACAAAAGAACACAACCTCTTAACATTGTTGTTGGTCCACTCAGGGCTGTGGGGAGGGCCCAGCCAGCATGCTCTCAACATGGGGATGAGAGGAAGGCGGAACCCAGAGGTTTCTGTCTTCTGGGAAGGTGTGTGAGTAAATGCTGAAGGTAACAAGTGAAGAAATGAGTGTGCAGGGCTGGAGAGGTGGCTCAGTGGTTGACAGCACTGACTGTCCTTCTACAGGCACTCACATGGCAGCTCACGACTGTAACTCCAAGATCTGGCACCCTCACAGAGACTCCCATGCAGCAAAACACCAATGCACATAAAATTTTAAAAAATTAATTAAAAAAAAAATAAAGGAGCCGGGCGGTGGTGGCACACGGCTTTAATCCCAGCACTCAGGAGGCAGAGGCAGGCAAATCTCTGTTAGTTTGCGACCAGCCTGGTCTACGAGAGCCAGTTCCAGGACAGCCTCCAAAGCTACAGAGAACCCCTGTCTCGAAAAAAGACAAACATGATATGTACTCACTCATATGTGGATTTTAGACACAGAGTAAAGGATTACCAGCCTACAATCCACACTGCCAGAGAAACTAGTAAACAAGGAGGACCCTAAGAGAGACAAACATTGTCCCCTGGAGAAGGGGAAAGAGTCACCATCCTCTGAGCTAATTGAGAGCATGCAAAGAGGGGGGAGGGAGCTATGAGAATGAGAAGGGAAGAAGAGGAAGGATGCAGAGGTCATGAGGGAGCAGAAAGGTTGAGGCAGGGGAAGAATAGAAGAAAGGATATGTGATAGGTAGGGTTTTAGTTGGGGGGGGGTGGTAGGGGAGGATGGGAGGGAGAAGGGAACTAGGATTGTCATGTAAATCAATCTTGTTTCTAATTCAAATAAAAAAATGATAAAAAGAAAATGGAAAAAAAATTAAACATAAAAAAGAAACCCTGTCTCAAAAAAACAAAAAAAAAAAGAGAAAATAAATAAATAAATAAATAAATAAATAAATAAAGGTAACAGCAACATTTCATGTTAAAAAAAAAAAAAAGAAATGAGTTAGATAATAGAGAACAAAGGAGGGCTGTGTGTCAGTGAGAGAGGGTGCATGTGTGAATGAGGTACGGTTATGAGTGTGTCTCCACTGCAGCTGGAAAGAGGAGAAAGCAGAAAGCCGAGAAAGGGAAGGGCAGGAGTCGAGGAGCCAGCCCCTGGAGTTCCCTGCAGCAAGAAGCCAGAAATACTGTCTTCAATTGTCACCATGGAACAAGTCTTAGGGAGTCGAAACCTCCTGGCACACTCAGGGTTCTCCATGGGCAAGCAGGGCTGCTTCAAGGGTACCTCAAATGTGAGCTAAGTGTGACCAGTAAAGCTCCAGCCTGGAAGCACAGAGGGGAGGCCCGAACCCCAAGATGCCTTCCCACGTGGATATAAGCTTGAGACACACTTGCTTCCTCCCTCCTGGGCTCAGCTACCCCACCCTCCACATCAGCACAACCTCTGCCACACTATGTCAGCAGGTCCCATGTCTATGTCACAGGGAATGGACAGGAGACAGGAGAAAGCATGGTAGAACCTCTGTATTCAAGCAAAAGAAACTTAACTTTTTAGTATAGCTACCTTGAATAGGGAGATAAAACATATGCACCATTTCAAAATATAATTTGGAATATAACTGGGCTTGGCAGCACAGGCCTTTAATCCCAGTACTCAGGAGACAGAGGCAGGGGGACCTCTTCGAGTTCCAGGGCATCTGGACTACATAGTGAGTCCCCTATCCCCAACAAAAGATAATGGAATGTGGGTTACCAGATAGTAATATCAGCATATAAACTTTAGTTACTCTGTGTGTGGGGGTAGGAGTGTGATGCCATGGCAAGTGTGTGAAGGTTAGAGGGCAACTTATGAAAGCCAGTTCTCTCCTTCTACCCTGTAGGTCCCGGGGATTAATAAACTCAGGTCCTCAGGCTCGATTGGTAGTAGATATCTTTACCTGCTGAGTCATCTCCTAGGCCCTCAGCACATGAAATTTTCAGGTGAGTTTGGAACTCATTTGCACAATACTGCAAAAGTGTACAATGACGCTGGCATAAAAACAAAAACAACAACCAAAACAAACAAACCACCAACAACAACAAAAAAAAAAAAAAAAAAAAAAAAAAAAACCCCCCAAAAAAAAAAAAAAAAAAAAAAAAAAAAAAACAACAACCTACCCACACAGCCAAATGAGAGTTTCATTAACAATTGTCGTTTCCAAAATGAATTTTTGAGTAATCGTTGCTTTAGTATTAGGTGAGTCAGCATTTGTCATGGGCCTGGCATCAGCCCAAGGCACACTGAAATCTGCTGTGACCTGTGAGGATTAACTTTAACGGATCAACTTTTAAATGCAGCGAGGCTCTGTTGAAAGTGAGGTCTGTGGGTGACAGTAATGAACCAGCCTTTGCCTGTGATTAATCCCTGGGAGCAATTGCACCTGGGTTTCCACTGTGGACAGACAGGAAGACCCTGCAGGAACTCAGGGCTCTGCGGAGGCTTACCCCTCCCTCCTGCAAGGCCAAGGATCAAGGCAGACACCTTGGGGAGCTCTTAGCTACACAGTCATCCTTGCTCTTGTTCCCTTCACCTCTCAGCTGCTTCATGGGAGGAGTAGTCCCCCATGCCTCTCTGCTCTGCACCACACAGCCATGCTAGGCCAAGTAGTCTTGGCCTGCCAGGTACTCTACAATCACACCCATGTCCCAGCCACCCCAATGCCTCAGTCAGTGTCCCTTCTCCTTACAGAGCATTGCGTCTCTTGCTCCCTGCCACAGGCTTCTAGGCCCTGGATACGCCAAGCCCTCCTTCACAGTCCTACCAGATTTACCTAGAACCATGTTGCTAAGGGATACCAAACTGCTTATTTGTGCATGAGGCAACTGCTCCCAGTGCATCTCATCTGCCACTTTTTCATCTGCTCCTTTCCGCCTCCTGAACTCTGCTTGTCCCCAATATGTCCCCTGGTTGCAATGTCCTCTCTTGCCCTCGCTGTCCAGCACTATTTCCCTCCCAGCAGAACTCAAATGCCACCATTCCCAACAGAAATCAATCTTCTCCTTCCTCTCACCATCACTTCCTGGGCTTTCCCTGTTCTGAATTTCTTCTGGCACTTGCAGGCCCTACCTGCATCTGGTCAGTTCTAAAAAACCATTGTTCCACTGCTCCCAGCATGGGGTGTGGCCGGAGAGTGGGACAATCAACAAACTTCCTCTGACCATCTGGACACTAGGATTCAGGTATAAAGTGAATCATACCTACATGTGCCTGTGACCCCAGCACACTGGAGGCTGAGATGGAAGGATTCCAAGTTCAGAGTCAGTCTGGACTGTTAGAGTTACTATTGCTATGATGAAACACCACAACCAAAAACAAGCTGTGGAGGAAAGGGTTTATTTGGCTTACACTTCTACACCATAGAACATCAATGAAGGAAGTCAGGACAGGAAGTCAAGCAGGGCAGGAACCTGGAGGCAGGAGCTGATGCAGAGACCATGGAGGGATGCTGCTTACTGGCTTGCTCCTCATGGCTTATTGCAGAACCCAGGACCACCAGCCCCGGGGGTGATTCCACCTACAATGGGCTGGACCTTCCTCCCCATTTTGTCAGTTAAGTCTCCCTCCTCTCCAATGATTCTAGCCTGTGTCAAGTTGACATAAAACTAGCTAGCACAGCTGTTTAGCAAGATCCTGCCTCAAAATAACGGACAACAGCAAGAAAGGCATAACCGACTATATTATGGCAAATATGTAGATTCATCAATCCACCCCCTTTTCCCCCTTGAACACACTCTACCCACTTGGTTACAGCCCCACCCCCTTGGGTAAACAGGCTCCACCCCTTGGGTACAGCCCCACCCCCTTGGGAGCACAGGCTCCATCCTCTTAGGTAAACAGGCTCTACCCGCTTGGGCACGCAGGCTCTACTCCTGAGAGATTCCCCTTTATCGCTCTCTTTAAAGACAACATGCTTCTGTAAAGGTCTGTCTCCTCTCTTTTACTTTCACATTGCCTCAATAACCCCAACCAAAAACAGGCAGCTGTTAAACACTCCACCGCCAAGTTTTACTGGGCTGCCAAAACGAACACCTTGGCCCAGACACTGAGGCAAGGATTAACTCAACCTCAGGCAACCACTGAGAACATTTTTCCTCAGTTGTAAACTAGTGTTGTAAAATGTCTTGGAAGCATCAAGCACTCCTGAATACAATGACCGCTTAATCAAGGCTGTAACTACTTTTAGCTAACAGAAAAGCTTTTAAAATT